TGCCCACGGGCCCTGAGGGGCGGGAGCGGGACCCGCCCGCTCGGCCCCTCCCCGGGGGGCGTAGTGGGGACGCGGCAGCGCCGCGGAGCTCCCGGCGGAGCTCGGGGCCGCTGCTCGGGCCCCGCCGCGCCGTCGGGCCGCTTGCCCAGCGCCGGCTGAGCCCCGCCGCCCGCGGGCTGAGGGCAGCCCCGTGCCGCCACAGAAGGCGGCGCGGGGCTGTCCGAGATCGGCCCACGCGCGGGCGAACGGGGAGGATGCAAAACTCCCGGTCCAGGGCCCGAGGGTCACACAGCCGTCAGGGTCACTGCCGTTCCCAGACGTAGCCCCAGCTTGCCCGCCTGCCCCACCTGCCATGCAGCACCCTGCCCCACACCCAGCTGCCCTGGGATGACCCACTGGATGGCAGGAGGGATGACGGAGGCCAAGGTCCAGGCCCAGCCAGGCACACGGGTACGGCCCCGCCGTACACACCTCACCAACACTATCTCCAGAGCCGAGGCTCCTGGACCTTGGAATGAGTCCTTCGGTTGGCAGCCAGTTAGGCAACCTGCTTCTCTCAGGCCCCCTCCCTCCCACAGGCTGAGACACGGATTTGTGTCTAGTCTACCTTTTTGGGCAGGATTAATGCTGAAAAAAGCATGTGATTTAATGCACACTTTTTAACAAACAGAGGAAACTGTGACTGGTCACAGGTGTCTTCCTGGGGGCTATTGCTCTAGTGGTTTAGATAAAAATGCTCATGCTGCACGACAGTAACCCAACTCAGCAAACATCTGTACTATTAAGTCATCCTGTAATTGCCTTTTACAAAATTTCTTACATAGCCATGTAGTGGGCAGAGAAAGCATGTTTTCAAAGAGTTTGGGGGTTTTTAAAGATTGTCATTTAGATCACTGTGGAACTACGCTGAATGACATGAGCTGAGGCACAGTTCCGGATTCCAAATTTTCTGAAACCAGAATTTTGTACTGCTGTGCCAAGCAGTTCGGGTAATAGCACAATGAAGGACGCATGGTTAAAAAGATACTTCATGAGCAGCAGAACTGATTTAGATAAATCCTTCATTAAAAATTTCCATGCCACAATGCACAAAGCATCTAGCTCTAGGAAAAAAAAAACAAAAACAAAAAAACCTAGCTGTTCTAGCAGCCTAACCTACTACTGGGCAGGGGGGAAGAAAATCTAGAGAGCGACAATAATATTAATTCTAATACTGAAAAGCCTGTCACTGTTTCTGAATTAAAGCCAGAAACACTGATATACTTTTACACTTCCATCTTGCTTGGTTGGTGGCAGCTAAAACAGCCCAGGCACAACTCAGCTATGCGTTGTTCCAAACGTCCCCAGTGTCCCCATTTGTACTGGTTCTACCACCAGCAGAGGCTGAAGATGCTCCACCCTACCCACTTCTCTATTTGCATGCGCATCTTGGCTGTCTTCCAGGGAAATCAACACAACATTCTCTTGCTGCTACGGGAATTGCAACATTCATTGGGCAGCAGCTATGTTAGTAGCAAAACTGGCACCTCCTACAGTTTCTACTTCAGCGTATTTGTTTCTAAATGCAGCTCTAGTAACAGTTGATTATTGCATTCTTTCTGAAATTTCAAACATCTAGATTTGAAAAGTGTCTTATGACCAACAGATAAATTGGAAGTAACTGCAACCTGGCTGGAACAGATAAATCAAAACAGGTTGCATCAAGATTTGTCAGTGCTCTATTGTGCGAAGCCAAAGAGTTAATCTCAAAATTGATTAAGGCTTCCCTTTTTAGCAGAAATATAAAAGATCATTTAAATTAGTACAATTAAACTCATATTTGCATTCATTCTTAAGCCCATATTTGCATAATGCTGAAAAAGGAATTCCTGGATAATTCCATTACAATTTATTCTCTGTTGGCAATCCCTGACAGAATGAAAATCCTGCTTTGGTTCTGAGACACAGCCAAAATTTTTCCTCACAGAGTGATGCATTCATACTACTCTAGTTTAAAAGAAGTTCAAAGTTTTGAAACTATCTGTCACTGAGAAAGCCTGCAAGTACTAGAAGGGCACACTAACAGCAAGACAAGAGGTCGTGTACCTTTCAAACTGTAAGCACAGCACCTGAAGAATAACTCCAGCTTTTATGTATATTTTTGTGATGTACAGACCTAACCAGAGAGTTTGATCTTTGTTATGTCAAGTCTGATAAATCTTAGGCAAACACTAACAGAGCCAAATTTTCCTTCTAAAACTGAAAGAACAATCTGTTTGTACACAGCAAACCAGGTATTGCCCAACAGTACTTCACGGTCCTGATTCACTATTGTTTTGTTCCTGCTTTTCTTACACCTGTGAAATGTTGCTGTTACACTTAAACTACCACAAAGTGCCAGGGCACCAGATGGTGTCTGGCAGTGGGCAAGATGACAAATTAATCAGCTTCCCCAGTCTTATACAGGGCCAAAACCTCTCTGGTGTGGGTTTCTTTTAAGAAATTCACTAACTTTGTAGCTAATTACATCAAAGCTAGCATGATTTGTTATTTACTTACCACAAAGTCAAAAGAACATTGTTTATTGTCTTTCAAACAACTGAAAAAAAAATCTGTTTGAAAACAGAAATCATATTATAATGCTGTCATTTGGCAGGTAAAATAGACACACCCATCCTTTGTACTAAGATTTTCACCTTTTTTCTCTCAACTCTTGTTTGAATTAGCTATATAAATAAGATTAAAAACTTATATCCTGTAACTAAACAGCCTTGAAGGAAATAGCATATAGCAATGGATATTTTGGGGAAGTACCCAGGTCGATGAGACTGAAGCCATTTTTCACATACTTTCTCTAAAGAATTATCTTTGCTGGGGTGGCTGAATTCCCAGCAGTTCCATTTGTTCATTTTTAAGTTGACCAAAGAGAATCAAACTCTCACAGCCACTATACTTTAACTTCCAGAGACTCACTGTCATTAATTACAGATGAACAGTATGCTAAGATAGATACTCCAATATTGCAAGCTCAGGGATCTTGCAGTTCTCCTCAGTTATATGCTCTTCCAAATACCGAAAGGGAATTCTGAGATCAGAGCTCTAGACACACAGTCCAAAGTGTTCTGTGAATTCTCAAAATTCACAGAAATTCTCACCAAAGCCAAACAAAAAACACTTTGGCTTAAAATCCTTAAGATATAAAAGCCTGAATCGCATCAATCTGCAGATCTTGACTAATATTTGAAAGCTTGGGTACATGGACTGGCACTGGAAAAGTGTCCTTATAGATCATAGTAGAAAAGTTTCTGAAGCTAGAAAATTAGAAGGGATCTTTACTTTGAGGCACAAAACTCCTTGTACTGTACAACTTCCAAAGGAAAAAGTGGGATCTCAACTTTCACAAAATAGTATGACTCTGTAATTCAAATAATTTAATAGCAAATTACAAGTGCCTGGGGCAGGATATGGACCTTGAAGTATGAGAGCTATAGTGGCATTGGTATGGTAAATCAATCATAAACTGCTTCTTTTCTTAGGCTGCACCATCAGTACCATTTTTGTGCTGTTCACTACCATCAGAGTCTTGGATCCCACAAGAGGTTAACTTCATTCAAGATTTCAACCACCAAGAGGTATTACTTGTTCTACAACCTACACTAGCCAGTTCATTAGCTCTCCCTGTGAAACTGAAATACAGTTTCTGATGAGAAACACAATACATTTACTCCTTAGGACTAATTATTGTTCAAAAATATCTTTAAAAACAAAACCTCTGTAATAAAATAACTCTCTTAAATTCTTCCCGATTTAGATTTTCAGTTATAGAGATATTTAAGGATCTTCAGCCACAAGGATAAGAATTGTCGTTAATGGAGATATGCAGATGAAATCATCTTCAGTTCATAGCTGCTCATTAGAAAGCTAGGCTTGTAAAACCCCACTGACACTTTAGAAATATTATCTGTACTCACCTTGCTGGCATAGGGTCAAGATTATTTAGACCCTCTTGCTACCATCAAAGCTTAAAGGTGTTTGGAATCTGAAGTTTTAGCCCAAGACCATCTCTAATTTTCAGCTGGTAAACAGGCATCTCATTCCCAAAGCCAGAAGCTGTTGGGCTACATCTTTGAATGGTATGAAGTGAGATAGTGCCTGGAGAGCTGAGCCAGCCTCAAAGCATCCTAGATAGGTGTGCAGAGAGACAGGAAATAATAAACTGTCTTAAAAATATAGCAGCATTCACCATGAAGATGAGCACTGCTCATTTTGCTTCTCATTGCTCAAATAATCTTTACCAAAGAGTCATCTTCTAGAAAAAAATACAGGTCTTCAGCAATTTTTTTGGGGAAAAAAGCAAACTAGACACTACACATTTTTATCAGTTAAACTTCATTTTGTAGGAAAAGGGAAGTTCAACATTTCGGAGTTCTTTTTCAAATATTATTTTAAAGCGTACCATCACAGAAAAGAATTTTTACATTTAAAAATTCAAAGTGAATTTTAATAGGATTTCAGCCTAGTCTCCCCAAGTCTTGCAAACACACTTTTAAATTTAAATTTTCTATTATTCTAAAATTAGCTTTAACAACTTGAAAGCCTCAAAACCACTGATGAAACAATACGTGTTTTGTAGGAACATACTGAGAAGTGACCTCTTACCTGCTGATGACCTCTAAATCCACCAGAGGACCCCAGGGGATGGTCGGTACATGACTGAAAGCTACAAGCTCAGATTCTATTCACATACCTGCACTGAATTGTATGTATCTAAAGAACAAGGGTTACCCCAGAATAAAGGAGAAGCAGCCATTTGTCAATATTAGTTCAATTAGATAAGCACAGTGGTGTCAGCAGGATGTCTGAGACATAACATGCTAGAG